GTGCCGCGACCTGGTGGTCAGCACACGTCACAGCAAGCAACTGAACTTCCGGTCTCCTGGTCAAACTCCCAAGGGGACACTTTGCATATTAGCCTTTTATATACAGTATATAGATAGTTAAAAAGGAGAAGAGAGAAACATCGATGTGAGAGCACAACATGGACTGGCTGCCTCCTGCACGCCCCCTACCAGGGATCAAGCCCACAATTCATGCATGTGACCTGACCGCATATTGAACCAGCAATCTTTTGGTGCATGGGATGGTGCCAACCAACTAAGCCATACCTGCCAGGCTAAAGCTTATTTATTCTTAATATGACAGAGGAAATTATAAACTCAAATATGCACAGGCTAAAAAAATATGCACAAATTGAGAATGACATAGCAACTAAAGAAAAACCAATTTAGAATTTTAATAGAGGTATGTTACTAAGGTTCAAAGTCACCAAGGATATATTATATATACAATACTATGTAATCTTCATTTTCTCTATACTCTCTAGAATCAAAACAACAGTCTCTGATGGGCAGAAATACCCATAATAAGTTAAAGAAGGATTATGTCTCTGATAAAGATTTTTTTTAATTTGCTAATTTGAGGACGGTCATGATTTCAAGGTGTTTAATCTAAAGCTCATATAAGGGAAAATGGAACAGAACATGTTAACAAGCAGATATCTATATACCTATATAAGGAGTAAATCAGAATTGGAAGCCCACAATTAAACAAAGCCCAAGCAAATTAAACCTAAAAGCAAGCAGAAATAAAGATATAATAAAGAGTAAGATCAGAAATCAATAAAATTGAAAACAGAAAAATAATATAGAAAGTCAAAGAAGCCAAAGCTGGTTCTTAAATATCAGTAAAATTAATAAAACTTTAGTCAGACTGGTGAAGAAAAGAAAAGATATAAATTACCAATATCAGGAATCAGAGGGGACATCACAAATCCTAAAGATATTAATATAATAATAAGGGAATATTAGGAAAAACTTTAGGTCAATATATTTGATTACCTAGATGAAATGAACAAATTCTTTGAAATATACAAACTACCAAACAAAGCTCACTAAAATAAAATAAAAATAACATGAATAGTCCTGTATCTACAAAGTACTTGGATTTGGGGGGGAGAGACAAAAACACTTTCCCACAAAGAAAGCTTGAGGCTTAGACTTCACTACAGGATTTTACCAAACATCTAAAGAAAGATATCAAATCTACACACTCTTCAAAAAACAAGAGGAAAGAACACTTCCCAGCTCATTCTATGAGACCAATAGTACTCTGATAGCAAAACCAAAACTATAAAACCAGAGCCTTCATGAATGAAGCTACAAAGTCCTCAACAAAGTATCAACAAATAGAATACATCAATATTTAAAAAGGACAATACATCAGGATCAAGTGGTATTTCTCCCAAGAATGCAAATTTGATTCAACATTTGCAAATGAATCAGTGACTCACATTAGTAGGCTAAACTAAAACCTATTTAACTTCATTAACACCTTCAGGTTCTTGGAAGTATCATCTGACACAGAACATATTTTGGGAAGCAATGGTCCTTGCCATCACCAAACTAATGATATCCTAATGATATCATTATCCTAATACTTTGGCCTTGACAGGCCTACTCCTATCCTTGAGACAGGGAGTTTAGGACACCTGTTAGCTCTTCACTTCATTTGACAAATAATTTATTGAGTATCTAACTCAATGCCTGACACTGATTTGGATGCTGGGAATAGAGCAGTAAAAAAAAACAAATAAACAAACAAACAAACAAAAAACATCAAAAACTCCTGCTTTCATAGACTTATGGCCTATTCAACTATAAACACATAATTTTAAGTAAAATTCCTAGTAGCTGTTTCTTGATTTTTTAAAACTCTGCAGTTCCCTTTAGATTCTTTTATATATATATATATATATATATATATATATAGAGAGAGAGAGAGAGAGAGAGAGAGAGAGAGAGAGAGACCCCTCTGGGTTCATAATTAATCACCCTGCCCAAGGAAAGGCAGACTTTTGTCCAAGGCCCAAATCTTTCCTTGAGAAGGAGGTTTCCCCCCACAACATGTTCATGAAGAAAGCATTCATTACAAATAATGAAGACTTCACCAGATTGGCCAGGTATTTATACAGTGCTCATACTGTGGCAATCAGGAGTATTTTATAGTTCCTCATTTTTCCTACAGCAAAGCCAACCCTTTATACTTGGGTGAGCCATTTTCCTGGACAAATCTCTAAAGCAAGTCCCTTGAGACCATCATACAGGGACTGGAAATAACAACTTGGGGAAAGAACCTCTTTAAGATTCATGTGTTAATATAAGTTAAGGAGGTAGGTGGAATAAATTTCCATCCAGTCAATATGTACTACTTGTTCTGGTCCTCAGATGACTTTGTGTTTATTTCATTCTAACTATGGAAGACTTCATTGGTCTACTTGATTAAAACAAAAACACTTAAGACAGCTTTAGGAAATGAAAATCAGCTCTCCCACTAACATGCATTTTGTTCCACACTACAAGATGAAAAACAAATCTAGTAAAAGGCTTACACTAGGGGAAGGGTCTTTGAAGTCATCTGAACCTTCTATTCCGTACTGGAATTCCTTCTACAGCATTCCTGATTCACGGTCAACCACCTGGGCCCCAATTCAGATAAGCCCAATGACCTTGTGAAGCTACCTATCCCACTGGAGGACAATTCTTGTTAGATTTTTATTTATTGACCTTAAATCTGCTTCATGTAACATTTATTAAACATCACCTGTCCACTGGTCTCTTCATTTTTTTATATCTGTCCTTCAAATATCTCAGAAGAACCATCATGTCTTCCCTTTTCCAGGCTAACCATCCTTATTTCCTTCAACCATTCTTCATTCAACATGGTTTCTAAAGCCTTCACATGGCTCAGTGCCTACTCCTAAATGCATTCCAGTTTGTCAGTGTCCTTCAGAATTGGATTCATTTTTTGACTTAATGCTAATCTGGAAACTGCCTATTCTATGACATGTAGTTGAATCTAGTAAATGTTGTCCTTGTCTTACCTGATATTGCTACATAAAGATAATGAAAAAGAATAGTTATTCAGGATAGTCAAATAGGTAAGGAAAAGCTACATTTAAATTCTTAAATATGAATCTAGAATAAAAATGGAACTCCACATGAAAACATTATAGAAAAAGATGGAGGGAAACGGTTGATACTGCTGATGTGGACAGACAGCCGGCATGTTATGCCCTAATCAAAGGCATGTAAAAACACAAAAATCAAAGAATCTTGCCAGTGCAATCCCAAGCAAGGGTCCAGCCATACATTTCAGGGCTCATAATCTTTCAAAATGGAAAGACATACCTGCATTTTCCCACCTAACTTATACTAGAATGTCATACTTTGATGTTTCGATGTCACAAATTAAAATTGGTTATAGCAGGTGGACACTGCCACATCTCAAAAATTTTTTAAAACGCAAATATTAGAAACTTAGTTGAGGTCACAAAGGAATCAAGAAAAATCAGAGGCTAACTTAAGCTAAAGCAGTGAAGAACTTTTCTGGTGATTTAGTAATCCTCCAAATGGTAGCCAACTTTCCCTCTGGAATTATAAAAAAACACACTAGACAAAGAATATAGTAGCAACCAAGTGGAACCCAATCATCAAGAAATGAATAAATTTTTTTCTTTTCCTTCTTTCTGTTCTCATTTCCCTTTTCTCTTAACTAATTTCTAATTTTCAAACAAAACACATTTTAAGTTTTTCAATCCAAATACCATAATCTTAACCATTTCTTTTAATAGGGGAAAAGATTCTGGTTAATAACATTACCAAATATACCAATGATTATAAATTGTCAAAGAATTAAGATATAGAAAAGATAACTTTCATAACATAACTATTATTTCTTTGATGATTTAAGGAGGTGCTTCATAACTTCAGGGTCTAATATGTGTGTTATTTTCTGTATTTTCAAAGCCCCTTACTGGAATCACTGTTCACTTTTCAGAATTTATGTAAAAGGGAGATTATAGAGAGAAGCCTATATTTGCTGCAGTGAGAATCATTAGGAAGAGAACCAAACATTATAAGAAGAAACTAAAAGTAGAAGTCTAATAAAATTGAAATTCTAATTTGAATCCAACTTGTTAAAATTGTTAAGTGGCATTACCTGGTAATTTGGGCAAAGCTATGTTATCTAAAAAAATAGGTAACATCTATTGGCTTTCTTTGATTAATATATTAACTTATGACTAGTTAGGCTTATCCAACATCCTAGCAATTTCAAAAGGCAGTTCTGCCATAATGGTAGAGAGAAACTGGTAGTACTAGAAAATAAGAAAAAACGGAATGGCCAATGTTTTATTACTTTAATTCTTAGAGGCATTGTTTAAAAAGCCGAGGGGCAGTATGCACCTGATGCAGAGAAGATATTCATTAATTTACAGCAACTACTATATAGCAGATAACATGTTAGGCCAAGAGTTGACTAGGAATGGTACAGCTAGCAAATATCCCCCCACAATAAGAATTATCATAAATCACAGGGGTTATTTGTTAATTTAAAAGACGCTTTTATTAGTAAAAATTTAAAGAAAGTCATTAAAATGACCTAGTGAAAATCACTCATAAATATGGAGAGAGTAATGTTTCCTTAAGAACACTGTTCATCAGAACATCTGGCCCATGTAATTCCTTAGAACTCATCTACATGACATATCATGTAGCAAGAACCTAGAAAGGGCAGTCTTATTGGCTTGCTTGTTACTGAGATACTTCTAAGGAATCAAGTTAAGGAAGTAGAGGGAACATTTCAGCCCTTCATGTTGTATAGATCTGACTTAGAAAGGGGACAGGGGATAACAACACATTCTGAAGCTCTCAAAATAATGTATGAATTTCACAAAAGCAAAGCAGAAGCTTTAAAAATTTTTCTATAAGGAACAGAAAGCACAAAGCACAAAAAGAAAAAAGGAGAACTTAAAAGACTTTACCCATTTACTGTATTTCAAAGGTCCTGTGAATCCCATGGCTTCTATTATCTTCGTGAAGGTGCCAACCTTCTCCTCAACTGGCTGTGGGAAATCCTTGGTAGTAGAAAACTATTTAACCAAAAGAAGGGGACCAAAATTAGTGGCAAAAAAAATTAGTTTTAATGCTTTTGTTGCTCATTAGGTCTAAGGGCATTTTTATTGCTTCGATTTTTTTTTCACCTAGAATTTATTTTTTGTTAATCCTCACCCAAGGATATTTTTGCCATTGATTTCTAGAGGTAGTGGACAGGAGGGAGGGGATGAGATGGGAGAAAGGGGAAGAAAAACATTTGATTGGTTGCCTCCCACATGTGCCCCAATGGGGGCCCTGGGATCAAACCTGCAACCCAGGTACATGCCCTTGACTGGGAATCAAACCCATGACCCTTCAGTGCACAGGCTGACATTCTAACCATTAAGCAACACCAGCCAGGGCTAGAATTTTTTATTCTGATTTTTCTGGTCATCTTATTACTTAATGCAAACATATCTGGAACTCTATCTAATAGATGCTCTCCAAATTTCAAAATGAGACATATTTACCTCAATGACCATATGCCTATGAACCCATGTTTAGGAAATGACTGATTCTTGTTAACAAAATAAAAATTCTATAAAAAAGGATACTTCTAAAAGGAAATCTTGACCCCACATTTCCCAAAGAACAATTATGAGAAGAGGAATGTTCTATGTTTATTGACATAACAGGAAAAGGAAGGAAAAATACTCTCTGAAAGCAGTCAAATAAGAACTAGATAAATGTTTTTTGCATTTTCTTAGTATAACAAATTTTATTAATGATTATAGAAGACATGAGTCTTGAAGTTTGCAAATAAACTCCAAGGAAAACCTATTCTAAATGAGGGCAGGCTATCTAATCGATAAATTCTCCAAAAGTTAAGTATTACTTGATTTTTAACATGTAAAAATTCAGAAAGACTTATTTCTCTAAAGCAGTGGTTCTCAACCTTCCTAATGCCGCGACCCTTTAATACAGTTCCTCATGTTGTGGTGACCCCCAACCATAAAATTATTTTCGTTGCTACTTCATAACTGTAATTTTGCTACTGTTATGAATCGTAATGTAATTATATATGTGTTTTCCGATGGTCTTAGGCGACCCCTGTGAAAGGGTCGTTCGACCCCCAAAGGGTCATGACCCACAGGTTGAGAACCGCTGCTCTAAAGCTTTGTCCAGGCAAGAGTATAACGTAAGAAACAAAGGACATGAGATCAGAAGCTTTAGGTTCAAATATTCAGTTGGTCTGTCACTTACCATCCTTGTGACCTTGGGCAAGTCACTTCATTTTCCTGAGCATCAACCTTCTGCATTGGATAAAATTCCTTGCCTCATCCAGCTAACAGTTTCGCTGAGAGTCAAATAAGAACACCCATGTGAAAGCACTCTATAAACACAGAAAGCACTAATAATTCTCACCTTATTTGTAGTGTGATACTTCCTACTCAGCTGTATGTCTATTCCAGAAATCTGTTCTGATCCACCACATGCTAAGGACTGGCTCATCTGGGGCCCCTTGGGGGTTTAAAAAACAACAACACAGATGTAAGCAACACTGAGCATTCACTTACAGGATTAATAAGCAGAACTGCTTTAAAGTAAAGACTATAGAACCTTTTCAGCCTTGCTTAACCCAGTTCCTGGTGATCTGGTCATCAAGAGGATTCAAGATTGGCAGCAAGAATATTGTCGGGTATATGGTAGGTGCTTAATAAGTACCTGTTGAATACTTGGCTAAATAAAAGGATTCTGCCCTGGAAACCTAGAACTAAATAAATATGAGTCAACTCTAAGAACTGGAACTGCAATAAATACCTACTTAAACATTGGCAGCAGTGCAGTATATGGGGGGGAGGGGAGGAACCAATGACTTTCACATCAGTCAATTTTGTTTAAAACTTGCTTTTGTCACTTATAAGCTAGGTGGCCATGAGGAAGTTACTGAAACTCAGCTGTAATGATTGAAAGAAATAATACAATAGTCCCCCCTTATCCGTTGTTTCACCTTCAGGGGTTTTAGCTACCCAAGGTCAATGCAGTCAAAATATATTAAGTGGAAAATTCCATAAATAAACAATTGTTAAGTTTTAAATTGCATGTTAATCTCATGCCTTTCCACTCCATCCCATCCAGGGCTTGAATCATCCCTTTGTCCAGTGTATACATACTGTACATGCTATCTGTCCTTTAGTCATACTGGTCATCAGATAGACTGTCACAGTATCACAGTGCTTGTGTTCAAGTGATCCTCATTTTACTTAATAATGGCCCTAAAGCATAAGAACAGTGATGCTGGCAATTCAGATATGCCAAAGAGATACCATAAAGTGCTTCTTTTAAGAGAAAAGGTGACTATATAGTACAATAAGACACTTTGAGAGAGACCACATTCACATAACTTTTATTACAGTATATTGTTATAATCATTCTATTTTATTATTAGTTAGTGCTGTTAATCTCTTACTGTGCCTAATTTACATATTAAATATTATCATAGGTATGTATGTATGTATAGGAAAAAATATAGTATATATAGGGTTCAGTACTATCGCAGTTACAGGCATCCACAGGGGGTGTTAGAACATATCCCCCATGGATAAGTCCCTACTGTATATGTAAAATGCCTTTTACAAAATATATACTCAATAAATCATAAAAGCTTCTTTCATCACCATCATCATTGTTCAGATCAGAATTGCCTTCCTTTTATGTTCACACACTGCATTTGAAAGTATTTTGGCAATATAATAGCAAAATTAATAACTATTATCATGTGCCAGGTACTATGCTAAGTACCTTACATATATCACCTTATTCGATCCTCACCACAACACTATTAGGTTGGTTTATTATAATAAAGACCCATAAACATAGTTTTGAAAATAAATTCCTAATATAAAAAAATACATGCAAGAGATCCTCATTGTAGAGTGAATGTGGGTAAAACTGGGGGGAAGGTCTACTAAGAAAGGAGATGTTAATTAAATTAAGGTACTCAATGGAAAATCCGGTAACCACTGAGATTTTTTTAAATGTTTTTATTGATTCCAGAGAGGAAGGAAGAGGGAGAGATGGATACAAACATCAATGATGTGAGAGAACCATTGATCGGCTGTCTCCTACACACCCCCTACTGGGGATAGAGCCCCATCCCAGGTATGTGCCCCCAACCAGAATCGAACCCAGGACCCTTCAATCAGCAGGCCAACGCTCTATCCACTGAGCCAAACCAGCTAGGGCTACACTGAGATTTTTTAAATAGTTTATTTTTTAAAGAAGTTTTAGGTTCACAAGAAAAATGAACAGGAAGTACAGAGCGCTCCAATATACATATCCACTCTCTCCCATACACAAAGCATCCCTATTGTCAATATCCTCCACAAGTGTGGTACATTTGTTACAATCAATGAACCTACATAGACACATCATTATCACTCAAAGTCCATAACTTACACTAGATTATTTTTAGCAACATGAAAAAACACATTAATATGTATAAAATTATAGGTAAAAATATGAATGCATATGGGCAAGCCTAGGAAGGAACACACTGAAATGAAAAAGTTACTTCATTAAATTAGTAGAACTATGAGTGAATTTAAGAATCTAGTTTCCAAATCCTCAATAATGTTGTATTATCCTATACTAGAGGCCCGGTGCATGAAATTCATGCACTGGAAGGGGGGGGGGTGTACCTCAGCCCAGCCAGCACCTTCTCCAATCTGGGACCCTCAGGGGATGTCCGACTGCCTGTTTAGGCCCAATCCCTAAACCGGCAGTCAGACATCCCTCTCACAATCCGGGACTGCTGGCTCCTAACCACTCGCCTGCCTGCCTGCCTGATTGCCCCTAACTGCTTCTGCCTACCAGCCTGATCACCCCCTAACTGCTCCCCTGCTGGCCTGGTCGCCCCCAACTGCCCTCGCCTGCCAGCCTGATCGCCCCCTAACTGCTCCCCTGCTGGCCTGGTCGCCACCAACTGCCCTCGCCTGCCAGCCTGATTGCCCCCTAACTGCTCCCCTGCTGGCCTGGTCGCCCCCAACTGCCCTCGCCTGCCAGCCTGATCGCCCCCTAACTGCTCCCCTGCTGGCCTGGTCGCCACCAATTGCCCTCGCCTGCCAGCCTGATCGCCCCCTAACTGCTCCCCTGCTGGCCTGGTCACCACCAACTGCCCTCGCCTGCCAGCCTGATCGCCCCCTAACTGCTCCCCTGCTGGCCTGGTCGCCATCAACTGCCCTCCCCTGCCCGCCTGGTTGCCCCCAACTGCCCTCCCCTGCAGGCTTGATCACCCCCACTGCCCTCCCCTGCCGGCCATCTTGTGGCAGCCATCTTGTGACTATGTGGGGGCAGCCATCTTATGACAACATGGGGCGGCCATCTTGTGATGATGTGAGGGTGTCGCGCAAGGGCCACCAAGGCTTTTATTAGTATAGATATTTATTTGTTTACTTGCTTATTTTCTATCACTACTACCTAAAAGATCCATGACAGTAGGAACTAGGTAGAATATCAGGATCAAGTACAATGCATGGTACATGGGTAACACTCAGTATGTGTTGAATGAACAAATGAAACCACCTGGATGGTTATGTCTTATTATTTCCTTCATATCCTTACATGCTTCATTCATCCAACTCCTATAAAATGCCAGCCTTGTACCAGGTTTTAGGGATTCTACAAACAGAATCCCTATCCTCGAGAAGCTCATAACTTGTAGAGAAGAGAAAGAAGACTCACTACTCATGAAACAGAATCAAATATCACATTTTAAAGATCACCTACCACACACACAATAAAAGGGTTAGCAAGAATGTAGAGCAACTAGAACTCTCATACACTGTTGGTGGAAGTGTAAAACAGTATGATCACTTTGGAAAATTATTTGGCAGTATTGAAAGTGAATGTATGCACATCCTATATGGCTCAGTAATTTCATTTCTAAGTACATATACTCCAACAGAAATGTGTACATATGTTCACCAAAAAACAGGTACAAGAGTATTCAAAGCAGCAGTATTAATAAAAACCCAAACTGGAAACAATACAAATATCCATCAACAGGAGAACAGATAAATTAATCATGGTATATCCATATGATATTATATCACAACTAGAGGCCCAGTGCACGAATTCATGCATGAGTGGAGTCCCTCGGGGTAGCCTGCAGAGATCAGGGCCCCAGATCGCATCCCCAGCCTCACAGCCCCACAACCCCACCTGGCACCCGCCTTGGCCTGGTGCTGCCCCCTCACCTGCTCCACCATCCTGCCTGCAGGACAATTCATTGGGACTGGGGCCTCCCCACCCAGCTCCCTCAATGTCTGGGAACCGGGTGGCAGCCCCGCCACCTGCCACCACCACTGGTCACTGTCTGCGGGATGATTGGCAGGGCAATCAGGCCCCTGCTCGCACCCACCTTGGCCTGGTACCACCCGCTCACCTGCTCCACCATCCTGCCATGGTCCCGTTCTCGTCAGGGCCCATCAGGGCCAGCAGCGCCTCCACTGCCGCCCGCTGGCAGTGCCACACTGCCAACACCCACCATGTTCTGCGCGGCCATCCCCTGGTGGTCAACGCATGTCATAGCGAGCAAACTCCCAGTCTCCCAGTCAAACGACCGTCCAAGCGACAATTTGCATATTAGGCTTTTATTATATAAGATAAGAATGAATAAACTATTACTACACAAAACAACATGGATGAATTTCTGAACAAAGTTGAATGAAAGCAAACACAAGAAAGTATGTACCATATGTATAAAAGGCAAAACTACCCCATGGTGTTCAAAGTGAAGACCATGGTTAACCTTGCTTATGGGTAGTGACGAGAAGGGGATCAAGGAAGCTTCTGGAGTTCTATTTCTTGATCTGAATGCTGGATATGTTTACTTTGTAATAACTCATTAAACTGTACACTAATGATTTATTCCTTTTTCTGTGTTTTTATTATACTTCAATAAAATGTACAAAAATGCTTAAAGATGTGGAATAGGCAGTATACTAGTAAACAAAAGAAATTTGGAGATGGAAAAGAATGACCTAGAATCGTCAGAAAAGCCTTCATAGAGAAGACTTAAGAAGTGAGCAGGAGCCCAGCCAGTATGGTTAAGTGGTTGAGCATTGACCTATGCACTGGGAGGTCACAGTTGATTCCTGGTCAGGGCGCATGCCCAGGTAACAGTCTCAATCCCTGGTGTAGGGTGTGCGGGGGGCAGCCAATGATTCTCTCTCATTACTGATGTTTCTATCTTTTTCTCCCTCTCCCTTCTTCTCTGAAATAAATAAAAATATATATATAATTTTTTTTTTAAAGTGAGCAGGTGAGAGATGAGTGAGAAGGCAAAGGTGAGGAAGCCATGGCATAATGGAAAGAGAAAACCACTGAGTCAGAAGACTTAGGCTGAAACTCTAGCTCTTCCTATCTCATAAATTTGTTTTGAGAATCAAATAAAATAATGTACTTTAAAGAGATATACAAACTATAATGCATAATATAAACGTAAAGACCTGTTCCAGACAACTTCAAAAATAAACTCTTTTTCAGACAGCCCCGTGTTAAAAAATATGTAAGATTTTGCCCTTTTATTTTGCTTCCAAAAAGGTTCTGAAAATGAAGAGACCCAGAAGGAAAGAAGGAAAAAGGGGAAAGGATAAGAGAAGAAGGTGAGGACTCAAGTGTTTCTTGATTACCATGGGTGTGTCTGGTCCTTTTAGCAAAAGTATAAGCTCTACCATGGCTCAGTCTATCTTAAACTTCTTTTATTTTCTGACCCAATGCTCAACACCATTCTGGGCACGGAGCGACACTCAATAAAAACTAGGCAGATTGTTTTTCATGTTTTCTGTGTGTGTGTGTGTGTGTTTAAATAGGACAACCTGGAGAAGGTCCAGAAAAGAACCACAGGAATGATCAAAGAGATGAATAAAAGGTCTTAGTGGAAAGGTTAAAATGAATTGAGGCTGTTTAGCTTGGAGAAAAAGCAATAGAAGAACTAAGAAGTAACTTAGAATAACAACACTTAAGCTGGAAGAAATCTCAGACATCTAAATCCAACCTTTTCATTTCACAGATGAGGAAACTAAGACCAGGGAAAGGTGGCAACTTGCTTAATATAATTTTAGCACAAACTTTTTTTTTAAGTTCTAATTTACACCTTGAGGAGAAAATTTACCTCAGTAGCATGAACATAAGTAGCAACAAACATATTTCTACAGCCCTGGCCGGTTTGGTTCAGTGTTTAGAGCATCAGCCAGCAGACCAAAAGGTTGCAGGTTTAATTCCCAGTCAAGAGCACTTACCTCGGTTGCAGGCTCAATCCCTGGCCTGGTCGGGGGGTGCAAACGAGAGGCAATCAATCGATGTGTCTCTTTCACATGTTCCCCTAACCCCCGCAACCTTCCCCTCTACTCTCTCTCTAAAAAAAAAAAAAAAAAATCAATGGAAAAAATATCCTCGGGTAAGGACAAAAAAAAAGATTACTTACTACAACTTATTGAAGACCTCCTATATGCCCAGCACTTTTATGCTTAGTGTTTTACTTATGTTTATCTCACAACAAACATGCAAAAATAGATATTTCTTTCCCCAAATTAGAAATGAGGACACTAAGGCTTAAAGAAGTAAACTTCATTAAACGGTAGAACATATATTCAGATGACTATATCACACAGCTTTCAAAAGCCTAAGTAAAATTTAATAACACAGGCTCATAAACAATTAGCAACCATTCTCCAAGAAAATGAACCAAGGCTCCTCAGAGAAACTGTTGAATCCCAGGCTAGAGCAAAGAAAATATAACATGAACATGAAATATCTTACTGTGTCAGAAAATAAGGAAGTGTTAAAAAATGATGAAGGTGCCTGGCTGACTTGGCTCAGTAGCACAGTTTGATTCCTGGTCAGAGCACATGCCCAGGTAGGGGCCGTACAGGAGGAGGCCAATCAGTGATTCTCACTCTTGATGTTTCTCTTTCTTTCTCTCTCTCTCTCTCTCTCTCTCTCTCTCTCTCTCTCTCTCTCTCTCCCACTCCCAAATCAATAAAAATATTTTTTTAAATAATGAAGGCAGCTGTAATCAGTTTGGCTCAGTGGATAGAGCGTCGGCCTGCAGACTGAAAGGTCCCAGGTTCGATTCCGGTCAAGGGCATGTACCTTGGTTGCGGGCACATCCCCAATAGGGGGTGTATAGGAGGCAGCTGATCGCTATTTCTCGCTCATCAATGTTTCTAACTCTCTATCCCTCTCCCTTCTTCTCTGTAAAAAATCAATAAATTTTTTTTTTTTTTAAATGATGAAGGCATGTAGAAAGGAACTTGACGGAGTTCCCAATAGCCCAAACTGGGACAATTAGATTAACAAAATAAATAATCAGAATAATAAATTATAACTCATAGAAGAAAATACCTATGAGCTCCTGATATAAATAAATAATGGAATAAATAAATACTTGCACACTTACATGTATTACAGCATTATTCACAATAGCCAAGATGTGGAAGCAACCCAAATGCCCATCAACAGATAAACAGCTAAAGAAAATGTGGTATATACATATAATGGAATATTATGCAGCCTTTAAAAAGACACCCTGTTACATGATATAACATGGATGAATCTTGAGGACATTATGCTAAGCAAAATAAGTCACAAAAGAGAAAATACTGTATATTCCATTCACATGAAGTATGTAAAGTAGTCAAAATCATAGAAACAGAAAGTAGAAAAGTGTTTACTAAAAGCAGAGTGGGGAAAGAATATTGCATGGAGAGTTTCAGTTTTATAAAATGAAAAAGTTCTAGAGATCTGCTATACAACAATGTGATTATACTCTACACTATTGAACTGTACACTTAAAAATGGTTAAGATGGTAAATTTTATGTTATGTTTTTAATCACAAATTTTATATTAATTAATTAGTATTATGTATCATTTTAAAATAAGAACCATTGATGGATGGTAAACGTAGTAAGCAAAAGTATGATCAGAAACAGAATATTTGCATAGTCTCAAAGTGTCTTCTCACAAGATACTTACTAATTAAAAAGAGAAAAATGATAACTTTATAGTAGGGGAACCTGACAGACACCAATTTAATAACCAAGTGATCAAAGTTAACATCACTAGTAATAAGACATATTGGCCACTGCTGGTGGGAATGCAGACTGGTGCAGCCATTGTGGAAAACAGTATGGTGTTTCCTCAAACATTCAAAAATGGAACTGCCATTTGACCCAGTAATACCACTTCTAGGAATATATCCCAAGAAAACAGAAACACCAATCAGAAAGAATATATGCACCCCTATGTTCATAGCAGCACAATTTACAATAGCTAAGATTTGGAAACAGCCTAAATGCCCATCAGCAGATGAGTGGATTAGAAAACTGTGGTACATCTACACAATGGAATACTATGCTGCTGTAAAAAAGAAGGAATTCTTACAATTTGCAGCAGCATGGATGGAACTGGAGAGCATTATGCTAAGTGAAATAAGCCAGGCAGTGAAAGAAAAATACCACATGATCTCACTCATTTATGGATAATAAAGACCATTATAACCTGAAGAATAAAAAGATAGATACAGAGAAGCATCGAACAGACTGTCAAATTACAGCAGGAAAGCTGGGCAGTGTTTGGCGGGCGGGGGGAGGGGGGGCAGGCGGGGGGGGAGCGGGAGTAAGAGATCAATCGAAGGACTTATATGTATGCATATAAGCATGACCAATGGACACAGGACACTGGGGGGGGGGGAGGGGGGGAGTGAGGGCATGTGCCGGGGGGTGGGGGAGGCCGGGGGAATGTCAATGGGGAAGAAAGGGAGACATGTGTACTACTATTTGTAATACTTTAAACAAGAAAATAAAAATTTAAAAAAAAAAAAAGACATATTGGCAAGTATCCCAAAATGATGCACTGAGAAAGGAACATTACTTTTGCCAAAAATACATAACCTCAATCCTATCTAATAATAGACAAACATGGTAATTAACCATACCTCTGACACACTTCCCATTGGCTAATCAGGGTGATATGCAAATTAACTGCCAACCAAGATGGCGGCCGGCAGCCAGGCAGCTGAAGCGAACAGGAGGCTTGCCTGCTCCAGTGATGGAGGAAGCCAAGGTTCCCCGCCTGCCACTGCCGGCCTCTGAGCTGCACTCTAAGAAACAATGTTACAATTATAGAAGCTAAACAAACCCCAGAAACCTGCTTTCAGCCAGCTGGGCCTCAGAGCTGGAGCTGCAACAGAGTTTCAATTATAGAAGCCAAACAAACCCAGATACCTGCTTTCAGCAGCCAAGGTCTCAGAGCTGGAGCCGAGCCTCAGAGCTAAAGATGGCTCTCAGTTCCAGTGACAGCCATAGAAGGTAAATAAATCCCAGAATAAAAAAAAAAAAGGGAAAAAAAGGAGAGGTTGGGAGCTTCAGTCAACCGCCAGCCTGAAAACGGCCCTCAGCCCCTCACCCAGACTGGCCGGGCACCCCAGTGGGGACGCCCACCCTGAAGGGGGTGTGACCAGCTGCAAACAGCCATCATCCCCTCATCCAGGCTGGCCAGGCACCCCAGTGAGGACCCCCACCCTGAAGGGGGTGTGACCAGCTGCAAACATCCATCATCCTCTCATCCAGGCTGGCCAGGCACTATGACACACACTGACCACCAGGGGGCAGACGCTCAATGCAGGAGCTGCCCTCTGGTGGTCAGGGTGCTCTCACATGGGAGGAGCTCTGCTCAGCCACAAGCCAGGCTGATGGCTGCCAGTACAGCGGTGGTGGTGGTGGGAGCCTCTCCTGCCTCCTCAGCAGCACTAAGGATGTCCAACTGCAGTTTAGGCCTGCTCCCCGCTGGCAAGTGGACATCCCCCAAGGGCTGCCAGGCTGCCAGAGGGATGTCTGATTGCCATCTTAGGCCCAATCCCCTGGGGAGCGGGCCTAAGCCAGCAGGTGGTCATCCCCTGAAGGGTCCCAGACTGCGAGAGGGCACAGGTTGGGCTGAGGGACCTCCCTCCCCACCGAGTGCACAAATTTTTGTGCACAGGCATCTAGTCTAATTATAAGAAAATATTAGACAAACCCATATTGAGAGACTACAAAAGGACATTAGGGGGGAGAAATACTGGAAAAAGGTGTGTTGATTAGTTAATAGTATTATATCAATGTTAATTTCCTGGTTTCAATAATTGCACTATGGTTACATAGGATGTTAACATTCAAGGAAGCTAGATGAAGGGTATATACTATTTTTACAACTTTCCTGTATGTTTAAATTATTTCAAAAAAATATTTAAAAGCAGACTCATCATAGTATGACAACTTCAAGAGATTATTTAGGACAAAGAGGAGAGTACAATGTCCCTAGCTTTTTAAAGATAATATGCTTATAGCATTTGACACTACCTTAGATATCACCTGATACTACCACTCATCCAATGAAGGATTCTTTTATGTCATGCCCTTAAAATACAGTCTCCCAACCATTGCTTCAATATGTCCAATGAGAGTAAATTTACTGTCAAAATGCAACCCAATCCATTACACCACAATTCTAATTAACTCAAAAGTTCTTTCTCATTCTGAGCCAAATTTGCCTGTCAGACATATACCTGAGAATATCATTCTGAAGCAGAGGTTTCTGACCAGGGGTTCTCAAAGATGGGAATATACTAGTATATACCCAGGTACAGTCAATATGACAAAATGTCCGATTTATTTACATTGACTAAAATTACATCTTGTCAACATGAAATAAGCCACCCTAAGTTATTTATGTAGATGCTTTGCTATAATGCTGTCCCAGAGCGTAAAACAATACCTGGTATATATCAGGTACCCCAGAAATGTTTATGATTCAAAAAATGAGACACTGCCCTAACCAGTTTGGCTCAGTGGATAGAGCGTCAGCCTGCGGATTCAAGGGTCCCAGGTTTGATTCCGGTCAAGGGCATGTACCTTGGTTGCGGGCACATCCCCAGTAGGGAGTGTGCAGGAAGCAGTTGATCGATGTTTCTCTCTCATCGATGTTTCTAACTCTCTATCTCTCTCCCTTCCTCTCTGTAAAAAATCAATAAAATATGTATTTTTTTAAAAATGAGACACAAGTCAGAGAGTCATATAATGAGTTCCCCCCACCACCATCTATACACACACAAATAACAAATGATTGAGATAAATTCTATTAAAATTTGTCAATGCACAAGAAGTAACAGAACATAGCCCAATTCTGAAAAAAGATAGCTGCCTGACTACCCAAAGTAGATGCCTCTTCTGCACAGAGATAATCTTTATTTATTCAACATACATTTAATACCTACTCTGTGTCTAGCTTAGTAAAAAGCCCAGGAAATACAAGGACAAGCAAGACATTTCTTCAGAATGGCAAGGTTTATATACTAGTTGAAGGGAATTACTCTATATTTTAAATATCTTAATACATTATATTTATACTAGAGGCCCAATCACGAAATTCTGCAAGAGTAGGCCTTCCTTCCCCCAGCTGCCAGCACTGGCTTCTCTCTGGCACCCAGGACCCGGGCTTCCCTCCGGCCGCGGCTTCATCCAGAATGACGTCTGGTCTAATTATCATATTACCCTTTTACTTATTACAGATAAGTAAATACATAAATATATATACAGATGCTCCTTGACTTACAATGGAGTCACAATCCAATAAACACACTGTAAGTCGAAAATGCATTTAATACACCTAACCTACTGAACACAACTTCGCCTAGCCTTAAACTTACTCAGAACTCTCATATTAGTCTACAGTTGGGCAAAATCACCTAACACAATGTATACACTATAGAGTATCAGTTGTTTCCTCTTGTGATCATATGGCTGGTTGGGAACTGCGGCTTGCTCTACCAATGTTCAGCGTCACACGAATATTAAACCACATATCACTAGCCCAGGAAAAGATCAAAATTCAAAACTGAAGTATGGTTTCTAATGAATGCATATGCCTTTTATACCATTGTAAAGTCGAAAAATCATAAGTCAAATCATTGTAAGTTGAGGACCGTCTGTACTAGTAATTTATATCAAAAATAATTTTAACTGCATCAAATAAAGAAAGTTAATGGCTACAGAAGGAATCCGTATTTCCGTAAGAAAATAAATAAATAAATAAATAGGTAAGAAAAATAAATTCCCAGTAAATAAATGGAGAAATTATATAAGCATACAATTTTTCCAATTCAAAATACACTGATAAAGAAAAAAATGTTTAAATTAACCCTGTTAGGTAGACAAATAAATGCAAAGCAAAACAAGGTAATATTTCCTAACCACTTAATTTAAAATTTTTTTTAAATACTTAATTTAGGGGAGATAATAATGAAAAACTAATTATATATACATTGCTGGTGGCAGCATAAATTAAAACAGCTTTTGGAGAAGAAAATGTTCACAGCCTTTGACCAAGGGTATACCCGCCTAGGAATTTATCTTTAATAATTAAAAATAAGAAAAACCATGTATCAAGAAAATTATAGGGGGATAGGGGAGGCTAGGGGACTGTCTATGGCGGGGGGGAAAAAATGGACACATATGTAATACCCTTTGTAATACTTTAAGCAATAAATAAAAAATTAAAATTAAAAAAAAGAAAATTATAACTGCATTAAAGCCTATAATGGCAAAAAATTTTGGAAATAATTTTAATATTAAACAAAAGGTAAGTAAATAGAATGACATGTAGCAATTAAAAATGTAACTATGAACTCTACCCAACAATATGAATAATGTCTGCTCTAATAAATGAAAAGGTACCAGAACATAAAATTCTGTGGATATTTGTTAATGTACCTAAGGAAAAAATTAGTACAAGAACCAGCAGATTTTTCAGGTTTGAGGTCATGAGTGATTTTTATTTCCTTTATTACTAAATTAGTTTCATGGCTAACAAAAATCAGGAGGAAAAAACTTTCAAGGAGTGTCCACAGTAAACTACATCATAATAAATCATGTGTCAATAGTAAATTAAAGCCTCAAATAATTCTGTGGATTTTATGTTCATAAAAAGAAAAAACAGCCCTAACTGGTTTGGCTCAGTGGATGGAGCGTCGGCCTGCGGACTGAAGGGTCCTGGGTTCGATTCCGGTCAAGGGCATGTACCTTGGTTGCAGGCACATCCCCAGTGGGGTATGCAGGAGGCAGCTGATTGATGTTTCTCTCTCATCAATGTTTCTAACTCTCTATCCCTCTCCCTTCCTCTCCGTAAAAAATCAATAAAATATATTTTTTAAAAAAAATTAAAAATAAATAAATAAATAAAAAACAAACAAAGAAAGAAATATTCTTCCTCTCCCCTCCCCCCCCCAAACAAAAAAAAGCATCTATGAAAAGAAAACTGAAGAAAAGTTAACTCTGAGATGAATATCTGGAAACACTCCCAACAGTAAAGTAAAAATCATCAGACTGTAGCATGGTATCCTAGGCTAAGTTCCACTGTTGGGGTATTTAGAAGGAACGCCCTAGACACCATATTGCAGGAATCAGTCCTGAGCTGGCACCACAGAGACCCAGGAGTGGTCTCATGAGGTTTTTTTCCATCACACAATTTGCTTGGCTAATCTATAAATACATGACATTTGCACATAAACACTAAGGTTTTCATACCAACCAAAGGAACAACAAACCTTACCTGGAAAATGCCAGACAGAGCCCTGCCCCACTGTCCCTGTGTAGGAGACAAAGGTACCAACCGGCTGCATACTGGAACCCACTGGGAGATGCTAATTGGAATCTGGTTCCTCTAAAGAAAGAAAAAAAAAGTCCGTCAAAAATCTATATCAGACTCCACATGTAGAAGGCAAGGAGCATATATAAATTTAGAAATTCTGTCAGAACGGGGCACATGAAAGGAGAACATCCAAAATAGAACCAGGATCAAGCCTCCCCATGCTTATCACTTCTGCCTCCTCCCACTTTGTTGGGGGTGTCCAATCTGAGCTTTCAAAAACACTGATTACATACTGGAAAGATTTGAGCAAATCAGTAAATATATTAACAATGAAGGGTCAAGTTTCTATCAGAGAAAGAAGTTGACAAGTATGAAAAGGCAGAAGGGTAGAAAAAACCCTGTGTATTGGGCTGGAATTAAAGTAAGTAGTATGTGTTTTATATATATATAGATAAGTAGATACAAAGATAAGTGGGTGTGTGTGTATACATACACACATATATATTTCCTACCCCTGTCTTGATCGGGCCTGGAAGCAATGATGGACTGGTAGTAGTGACAGCCTGGTAGCAGTGACCACATACATATAGCATCCAGACTTGGTTTCTAAATAGCAATATTCAATAAAATGAACCAGTCTTCTCTGAAGAAGAGTTGACTCCTGAATAGGATCAATGCTCCTGAAAGCCTTATTCAGAAAGAATGACATTATTTGATATTTGAGCTGTCTAGTAGTTCCTTGGAAGACTCCATCTTGCAAGGCTGTCTTGGAACTCACCCAGTATGAAAAACACTTTCTCCAGAGCATTGACTGAAAACAAATAAAGGCAGTTTAACTTTGTGGCTGCCTGAAGCAGTGGATAATACTGGGGGAAACAATAAGTTAAACATAAAGCTTAAAAGGAAAAGCAGGGGCCCTGGCCCATGTGCCCAATGGCTAGAGCATCAACCTGCGCACCAAAGGGTCATGGGTTTGATTCTCAGTCAACAGCATGTTGGGGCCCTAGCCGGTTTGGCTCAGTGGATAGAGCATCGGTCTGCAGACCAAAGGGTCCGGGTTCAATTCCAGTCAAGGGCATGTATCTTGGTTGCAGGCTCCTCCCTGGCCAGGGCCCTGGTCAGGGTGTGTACAGAAGGCAATCAATTGATATGTCTCTCTCACATCAATGCTTCTCTCTGTCTTTCCCTCTCTCTTCCACTCTTTATAAAAGGTCAATAGAAAAATATCATTAGGTGAGGATTTTTTTTAAAAGAGCATGTTGGGGGCATAGGAGGCAATCAATTGATATGTCTCTCTTACATCAATGTTTCTCTCCCCTCCCCCTGCTCTAAAATTCAAAGGAAAAAATACCCTTGAATGAGGATTAACAACAAAAAACAAAAAAGGAAAGAAGCGAAATGAAATGTTCACAGGGACTTTGAAAAGCTCTGACATATTCCTGGGAATTTGAAGGCCATGCACATGCACAGGGTTGTGCCCACACCCAGAGCTGTGCTCATAAACACAAAAGACCTGAGAATGCCCTAAGCTCTCACCTCTGATGGCCTTTGAGGCTCTGAACAAGCAGGAAGTGAAGATTATGGCAGAATGTTGAAGGCCCCAACATGTACATGGGGCCCCTCAACAAAAACTGGGAGACTTACTGGTTCCAGGCATTTAAGGAACTCTCCAGCCACACATTATCTGACCACCAAGCTAACTGAGTAGAGAGCACACAACAAAGAATACAAACTTTATAGAATTAAGTCAGAAAAGTCACCAAACAGAAATACAATAATAAATTTTGGGAAAGGAAAGAACTGATTTCCACATTATTTGAAATTACCAGTTTTCAACAAAAAAAAATTATGAAACACATAAAGAAATAAAATCCACATACAAAAAAGAAATCCATACACAGGGAGAAAAATCAATAGAAACTGTCCCTGAGGAAGCCCACACATTAGACAAACTAGACAAAGATTTTGAACCAGCTGTTTTATTTTTTTAAATATATTTTATTGATTTTTTACAGAGAGGAAGGGAGAGGGATAGAGAGTTAGAAACATCAATGAGAAACATCGATCAGCTGCCTCCTGCACACCCCCTACTGGGGATGTGCCCGCAACCAAGGTACATGCCCTTGACTGGAATCGAACCTCCGCAGGCCAATGCTCTATCCACTGAGCCAAACCGGTTAGGGCTATTTTTTTTAATATATTTTTATTGATTTCAGAGAGGAAGGGAGAGGGAGAGATAGACACATCAACGATGAAAGAGAATCACTGATTGGCTGCCTCTTGCATGCCCCCACGGGGAATCAAGCCCGAAACCCCGGGCATGTGCCCTTGACCAGAATCAAACCCAGGACCCTCTGTCCGCAGGCCGACCCTCTATCCATTGAGCCAAACCGGGCAGGGCTGAACCACAGCTATTTTAAATATTTAAAAACTAAAGGAAACCATATCTAAAGAACTATAGCAAAATATGAAAATGATAGAGAATATCAATAAAGAGAGAAACTAAAAATAAAAATTCTGGCCCAGCTGGAATGGCTCAGTTGGTTGAGCATCATCCCGTGCATCAAACGGTTGCTGGCTCGATCCATCAGGGCACATATTTGGGTTGTGGATTTGATCCCTAATCAGGGAGCGGACGGAAGGCAACTGATCAACGTTTCTCTCACACATCTTTTCCCCCCCTTCCTCTCTCTAAGTATGTTCTCAGATGAGGATTAATAATAATAATAATAATAATAAATAAAATAAAATAAAATAAAAATTCTGGAGTTGAAAAGAACAATAAATAAACATTTCACTAGAGGGGTGCAACAGATTTGAGCAGAAGAATCAATGAGCTTGAAGACAGGTCAATTGAAATTATCCAATCTAAAGAACAGAAAGAAAAAATAATAAAGAAAATTTAACAGAACATCCGAGATCTTTGGGACATCACCAAACATTACCAACATATGCATAACTGGGAGTCGCAAAAGGAGAAGAGAGAAATAAATGAAGAGAAAAAAATATTTAAAGAAATACTGGCAGAAAACATCCCAAATTTAATTTAAAAAATCAATCTATAAATCTAAGAAACTCAACTAACTCCAAGTAGGATAAACTCAAAAGATCCACAAATAGACATATCATAATCAAGTTGCTGAAAGACAATAAAAAGAATCTTAAAAGCAGCAAGAGAAGCGACTCATCATTTACAAAAGAGCCTCAATAACATTAACAGCTAATTTCTCCTCAGAAATCATGGAGGCCAAAAGGCAGTGGGATAAAATGTTCAAAATGCTGGGGGCAAGGGGAGGGTAATGACTGCCAAACAAGAATTCTATATCTAGCAAAGCTATTATTCAAAAGTGAAGGAAATTATTAAGACCATCTAGATAAACAAAAACTGAGGAAATCTGTCAATAACAGACCTGCCCTACAACAAATACTAAAGGGAGATCTGCAGGCTAAAATAAGACTTTTTACACTACAGTAACTTAAATCCACATGAAGAAGTAAAGTGCACTGGTAATGGTAACTATTTAAATAAATAAAAAATACAGTATAAATGTATTTTTTTAACTTTTTTATTGAATTTACTGGGTGACATCAGTTAATCAAATTATATGTTTTCAGGTGTACAATTCTATAATACATCATCTGTATATTGTATTATGTGTTCATCACCCCAAGTCGTCTCCTTCCATCACCATTTACTCCCTTATGCCCTCTCCTACCACCCCTACCCCTTTCCTTCTAGTAATCACCACACTGTTGTCTGTGTCTGAGTTTATTTGTTTTTGCTTAATCCCCTCACCCTTTTCACCCACTCCTACAACTCCCATTCCCTCTGACAGCTATGGGTCTGTTCTCTATCTATGAGTCTATTTCTACTTTGTTTATTTTGTTCATTAGATTCCACATATAAGTGAAATCATACAGTACCTTACTTCCTCTGACTGGCTTATTTCACTTATTATAATGCTTTACATGTATTTTTTGCTCGTAGTTACTTTTTAATTTAAAAGAACTGAATAGCCAAACCGGTTTGGCTCAGTGGATAGAGCATCGGCCTGCAGACTGAAAGGTCCCAGGTTGGGTTCTGGTCAAGGGCATGTACCTTGGTTGCGGGCACATCCCCAGTAGGAGGTGTGCAGGAGGCAGCTGGTCGATGTTTCTCTCTCATTGATGTTTCTAACTCTCTATCCCTCTCCATTCCTTTCTGTAAAAAATCAATAAAATACATTTAAAAAAAAAAAAAAAGAATTGAATAAAGCAAGAACTATAAATCTATGTTGATGGGCACACAATCTATAAAGATGTAATTTGAATGACAATAATGGCACAAAAGAGGAGGGAAGGGACAAAGCAATATATAATCAAAGTTTTTATATATACTATTATTGAAATCAAGTTAGTAATAATCAAACTAGATTGTTATGAACTAAGATGTTTATAATCCCCAGGGAATACACTAAGAAAATAACATAAAATAATAGTAAAACTTTATACCATATACAAAAATTAACTCAAAATAGGTCAAAACTGTTTTTTAATTTTACTGATTTTTTAGAGAGATAGGAAGGGAGAAGACAGAAACAGTGATATGAGAGTGCAACATAAATCAGCTGCCTCCTACACGCCCCTACTAGGGATCAAGCCCGCAACTGGGCATGTGCCCTGAGCAGGAATGGAACCAGCAATCTTTCTGTGCCCAGGATGATGCCCAACCAAATGAGTCACACTGGCCAGGCTAAAGACCTAAATTTAACACCTAAAACTATGAAACTTTTAGTAGAAAATATAAGGGAAAGCTTCATGATATTGGATATGACAATGATTTTTTTGGATATAACACCAAAAGCATAGGCAACAAAAGAAAAAAGAGTTAAGTTGAATTTCATCAAAATTAAAAACTTTTGTACATCAAAGAATACTACCAACAAAGTGAAAAGGCATGGGAGAAAATACTTCCAAATCATATATCTGATTAAGGGATTCATATCCAGAATATATTAAGAACTCCTACAACTCAACAACAATAATAAAAAAAAATACTCAATTAAAAAATGGGCAAAGGACTTGAATAAACATTTCTCTGAAGATATAATTTTAAAGGCCAACAAGCATTTAAAATATGCTTAATGTCACTAATCCTATATAATAAAAGGTTAATATGCAAATTGACTGAATGGCGGAATGACCAGTCGCTATGATGCGCACTGACCACCATGGGGGGGGGGGGGGGGGTGCAGATGCTCAACACAGGAACTGCCCCCTGGTGGTCAGTGTGCTTCCACAGGGGGAGCACCACTCAGCCAGAAGCCAGGTTCGTGGCTGGGGAGCGCAGCAGTGGTGGCAGGAGCCTCTCCCGCCTCTGCAGAAGCGCTAAGGATGTCTGGCTGCCAGCTTATACCCGGACATCCCCCGAGGGCTCCCAGACTATAAGAGTGTGCAAGCTGGGCCGAGGAACCCCTACCCCTGAGAGCACGAATTTCACACACTGGGCCTCTAGTCATTAGAGAAAAGCAAATCAAAATTACAATGAGATATCACCTCACACCCATTAAGATGACCACTATAAAAATAAAATCAACAAGGATTGGTGAAAACATGGAGACATTGGAATTCTGTGTTTTGCTGGTAGGATATAAAATGGTTCAGCTGCTGTGAAAAATTAAATGGTAATTCCTCAAAAAATTAAACATACTTACCTTACACTCCCATAATTCCACTTCTTAGTTTAGACCCAAAAGAAGTGAAAACAGGGACTCAAACAGATATTTGTATACTCATGTTCATGGTAACACTATTTCACAATAGTCAGAAGATGGAATATCTCAAGTGTCCATTGACAGATGAATGAATAAACATAAAGTGATATATACTAGTATACACAAAGGAATAGTATTCAGCCTTAAAAAGGAAGGAGATTCTGACACGTTACAACATGGATAAACCTTGAGGGCATTTACTAAGTGAAATAATCCAGTCACAAAAGGACAAATTCTGTATAATTCCATTTATCTGAGGTACCTAGAATAGTCAAAATCTTAAAGACAGAAAGTAGAATGGTGATGAGTACAGAGTTTCAGTTTTATAAGATGAAAACAGTGGATGTTGGTGGTAATAGCAGCACAACAATGTGAATGTATTTAATGCCCTCAACTGAATACTCAAAAATGGTTAAAATGGTACATTTACATTATGTATATTTTACTAAAAAAAATTTTAAAGTACAGAGTGCCTTTCTGTAATTTCTACTATTGTCAACGAAAAGCAAAAATGATCACCAATGCCCAGGACAGCTCATTTATATATATAAAAGCCTAAGCCACCGTCCGACCAGTAGTTATGATGCGCAATGACCACCAGAGGGCAGACACTCAACACAGGAGCTGATAAGCTGTGGTAACTTGGCAGCTGCGGTTCTCGGGTGACACACCCGGAACCAGAGAGGAGGGAGCCCAATTCCAGGGTGCAGGTGCGTCACCCATGAACCGCCTTCTAGCTATCTGGGACCCCTCGGGGGATGTTGGAGAGACAGTTTCAGCCTGATCCCCGCAGGCGAAGCCAAGGGACCCCACTGGTGCACGAATCCGTGCACCAGGCCTCTAGTAAAACTATAAGCAAGTCCCATTGCACTACTCAAAAGGCCAGTTCCCCTTCTGGAGCTACTCAGCAATAGCAGTGTTTTAGTTTCCTCCTCCTTCCCAAACCCATCATTGGAGAGGGAATAAAACTGACCAATAAGTCTGAAAGAAGAAAAAATAAAGGAAGACTAATGAGAATGTTTCAGGAACACTACCTCTCTGTGGTTCAATTTTCTTATCAGTAAAATGGGGAAAATAATAGTGCTTACCTTTTCAAAGGGCTGTTGTAAAGATTAAGTTCACATATATGAAGTATGTAAGAGTGCTTAGCACATGGTAAGTGCCCTATAAATGTTAGCTGTCAATATTATTGCCCAGGAAATCTCAACAACATCTTGCTTCAACTATAATCTTTATCTCAGCACTGTCTCGCTCTCATGAACACCAACTCACCAACTGCTAAAAAAGAAAAAAATATATCTATCTCCAGCTGGATCTTCTCAGTGGACACTACTATTAACTCAGTTATCAAAGGCTGACCTGGATCTCACTGTTAAGACTCCTCCTTCTCCCTCACCCTCCATATCTAACCTCTCATCAAGCCCTATATACTCTCTTTCCTATTGAAACCATCCCTTCCTCTTTAACCACACTGCTCCTCCCCCCTTACTATAGGTTTTTATCACTTCTTCCAGGATTACTTAAGTACCTTCTGATTGACTTTGGGGGTCTCTAATTTCAGCTCTCTCTGATCCATCCACAACTACTACAAGATCTACTAATATTTTTTTTAAAACTCTAGCCCTAGCCAGTTTGGCTCAGTGGATAGAGCAGCCCTCGGACTGAAGGGTCCCAGGTTCGATTCCAGTTAAGGGTATGTGCCTCGGTTGCAGGCTCAATCCCTGGCCCTGGTTGGGTGCATGCAGGAGATAACCAATTGATGTGTGTCTCTCACATCGATGTTTCTGTCTCTCTTACTCTGTTCCACTCTCTAAAAATCAATGGAAAAATATCCTCAGGTGAGGATTAACAAACAAACCAAAAAAAATCTAATAGTGGGTATGTGAGTGTTTACTATGTTGACTATTAAAAAAAATTTTTTTATACTTTCAAAATAAAAATTTTTAATTTAGAAAAGCATGTAAATATCACTGGTCCCATTTGATTCTCTGATCAACCCTATCAAATTTACTGTTAAAAAAATCTGAGACTCAGAGAAGTTAGGTGACTTGCTCAAAGTCACACCCACAAAAGTAACAGAGCTAAGCTTACAACCAAGGCCCTTCAGACTCCTAAACATGTGCACTTTCCTGTATCTGTGAGTTCCTCACATGCCTAACCCAAATACCTCTTCAGAGTAGGTGATCCATAAATATCTGCTACTTTCATGTTTACTGACACTTTCAACCTGTCCTACAGGAGTTTCCATTGCTTTGTCACACATCCTATATAATAATAAATATAATAAAAGGGTAATATGCAAATCGACCAAACAGCAGAACAACCGGTCGCTATGATGTGCTTTGACCACCAGGGGGCAGACACTCAATGCAGGAGCTGCCCCCTGGTGGTCAGTGTGCTCCCACAGGGGGAGTGCCACTCAGCCAGAAGCCGGGCTCACAGCTGGCAAGCGCAGCGGCGGTGGCGGAAGCCTCTCCTGCCTCTGTGGCAGCGCTAAGGATGTCTGACTGCCAGCTTAGGCCCCCTCCCCCTGGAGTTGGACATCCCCCGAGAGCTCCTGGTCTGTAAGAGGGCACAGGCCAGGCTGAGGGACACTCTTCCCCTGAGTGCACAAATTTCATGCACCAGGCCTCTAGTTACATTATAACACCAGGCCGGCGGGGAAGAGGGGCCCCAATAGTTGGCCAGCCGGCCCTGCTCCTGATTGGGGTGGGGGATCCAAACGGAGGTGGGACCGACCGAGGGGAGGGGCCACAGGCGGTTGGCTGGCCGGCCCCACCCTAGATCGGGATGTTGGGGGCCGATTGGGGGGGGGGGGTACCCAAGCTGGCTGGGAAAGGGGCCACAGGCAGTTGGCAGCCAGCCCCTCCCCCAATCAGGGTATTGAGGGCCAATCGGGGCCCGGATTGGCTGGTTGGCTGCTGCAGTGTGCATCATAGCCACCTATCGTGCCAGTCGTTCTGCCATTCCGGTCGCTGGGCTTTTATATATATAGATGTTTAAAGGACTTCAAAGATTCACTGTATAAAGTCAAAGTGACTTTCCTTATCTAAACTTACTTTCCCCTAAAAAAATTACTAGATAAATGGGGGTGGGGGTAGGACAGATCCAATTAATAGAATCCATTCAGAGAGGCAGAATCTATGGATGCTACCACCTAAGAAGAAATGAATCTGAAACACTCCACATGCTCAGGAATAAGAATAAGATAGCTGGGGCATCCGCTAACTTCCAAAACAAACTAAAGGGTTCATTTCAGGTATACTGCCCAATAAACTTTTCATCTCTTCCCCCAAGTATCCATCTTAAAAACTAAATAACTTGGGTCCTAGCTGATTTGGCTCAGTGGATAGAGTGTCAGCCTGTGGACTGAAGGGTCCCAGGTTCAATTCCAGTCAAGGGCACATACCCAGGTTGTGGGCTCAATCCCCAGGAGGGGGTGTGCAGGAGGTAGTCGATCAATGATTCTCTCTCACCATTGATGTTTCTATCTCTGCCCCCCTCTCTGAAATCAATAAAAATATGTTAAAAAAGTAAAACACACACACACTAAATAAGCTGGGACATCCTAGTCGTCATTTCCTCAGCAGTCCTGATCTCAATCAATTCTTGCTCTTGCATCAACAATTACTCTGCCAAGTAAATCTTTCTCTAGGTTATAAAAGCTATCCTTCAAACAAATATATATATATATATGCTGAGCAGCAATCGTGGGCACTGCACTTTGCTAGACTGAGAAGAAATATAAGTAAAACTGCAGTCCTTGTAAGCCATATAGTAAAAGATTAGAAAGTGTAAAATGGCAACTCAAAAGACAACCAGAGGCAAGAACAGACTGTCTCAGCTATGAAACACCAATGCCCTTGACCCAGGTTTTGAAAGACTTGCTAAAATTATACTCTCCCATCCCTCCACGGTTAGCACCTAAGCTCTGTATCCTCCTAACCTTTCCCTGCGGCCACTTTCTCTCTCCTTTCGTTCCTGGAGGTCGCAGTATGCTAGAAGGATCCGGGCTGAATCACAAGAAGGGCAGTAGCTTCCCATAAGGGTGCGAGTTAGTCGAGCAGTCCTTCCCGACCTCATTCTTCATTCATTCGTTCAACAACCGTCTATCGGACACCTATGATATGCCAGACACTGTACGAGGCCGAGTGAAAACGGCAGCTAGGACCTCAGTTTTCGTGCAGCTTTCAACCTGATCATCTGTCACGGGAGCCCACGTAACGGTCGTTCAGAATTGACCGACTGCTCTCTGAAACAAACCCGGGAAACCTCGGGATCCCAAAGGGCCGCAGATGAACGTCCTCGTTTCCCACGTCAGGCTCCTGAGGTCTGAGAGGGACCTGCCCGGCGTCACACGGTACCTCGGCGACAGAACAGGGACCGGATAGAACCCTGTCTCGCGGAACTCGCATCAGTGCCCCACGTGCCGCCTCTCCCTGAGGGGAAGCGGTCGCAGGCGGCGACTGAGGAAAACCAAACCGCATCGAATTCAGATCCGATGTCACTCTCCCTCTCCTCCCAAGGGGGGGAAACCACGGCCAAAAACGTCAGAGGGAGGCGGGAAGCTGCCTCAGTTTCCCCGCAGAGAGGCGGCCGCACAGACCCCCCCTGTGCACTTCCTTCCAGCTTCTCCCACCCCGTCCTCTCCGACTCCAACCCGGGCCCGCGGACAACCGCACGAAATCATTCCTTCACTCACAAGGACTCGCACCAGCAACGCCATGTTTCCTCAACAACCATTTCCGGGTGAAGGGTGAGCTTCCGGAGTCCCGGCTGCCGCTACGCCTTCCCTGGGTCGTCCTCTACTGGGTCGTCCCGACCAGAGTCCCCGAGCCAGTGGGCGCCTGGCAACGGCGGCGCAGGCGCACAAAGGTCGCTACCAGGATGCGCGCGCTTCCCTCGGTGCGCGGAACCCGGTGAGCAGGGCTGTCGGCCGGGACTGCGCCGGGACCCGCCTCCCTCTCGCTCGCTCGTCCACGCCCGACGTTCACGGACGCTGAAGTCCTCTGCAACGCCGGCCTTCCCTGACCTCTGGCTTCGGGATTTGCATAGCTCTCCCCTTAACCTCGATCTCAACCAGCCTCACTACTCAGCGCCCTCTTATCAGAACCCCCCCTTCCCAAGCTTGACTCCCGAGAAGATCCCCCCTTTTCCCTGGGGTTAAAAGACCAGGATTTGGGGAGCTCCCTTAAAAGAAGGTGATGATATTGTCAAGAAAGAGGTTTGAGTGATAGGCCAGGACATCTATATAGTGAAGAATAGGAAGAGAGGAAGAGGTTGTTAGGAAAGAAGAAGGGGCAAATGAGTAAAAGAAAATGTAATGAGCAAAACTGAGATTAAAGGATAAGAAAATCTTGATCAGACAGTGATATTTTTTAATTTAAGGTTTTAGGGTTAGAACTGTTGGGAATGATGACCAAGTGCAGGGGGTGACTATGGAAGAACGTGGCTGAAATGAAGTGGAGGTAAAGATCCCTGGACTGGAGGCCTTCAAAGAACTGAGAGCTCATGACTTAGGATGCGTCATTTACTGAGACATTTAGGTTGCCGAGGATGGTGGATAAATTAGGAATGAAGAGGCCTGACACCAAAGCCTCCACCACCAGGGCTCATCAACTCCTTAACACTCAGCCTGAAGCCCCAGCAAGTTCCATGGTTCTCTCAAAGCTCCCTCTCCCTCGCTACATTTCCTTTCTCCCTTTACACTGTCTCTACCCCTCAGAACTTTCATACTTCCTTAGAGGCACCACATTGTAATTCAGTCATTCATTAAAAATATATATATTTGCTGAGCACTTACCATGATTCAGGCTCAGATCTAGATGCCAAAGATACAGTAGAAAAGTTACAGTAAAGGGAGACAAACAATAGACAAATAAATATAATCTGATGCCGGGTATTGGTAAATGCAAAGCAGGATAAGAATAAAAAGTGAGAAGGCGAGGTGCTATTTTAGATAAGATGATCAGGCAAAACCTCACTGGATTTGATCAGAGGTATGAATGAAATGAGAATCTGGCCCATGTCAATGAGAGAGTGACCCATGTCAGTATCTTGGAAAAGAGCATCCTTGGCAGATAGAACAAGTACCAAGGCCCCAACATGGAGAATGCTTGGTCTTCCCAGGAAGAGCAAGGAGGTTATTATGGTTTGAGTCAAATGACTTAAGAAAGAGTATGGTAGGAGATGAAGTTGACAAGGTGGCCCTAGAGGCCAGATCTGGGGGACCTTGTAGGCCATGGTAAAGACTTTGGCTTCTGTGTGTACTAGTATGAGTACAGAAAATTACTGGAAGCGTATACAAGAAACAGTAATGGTGTTAATAGTTGTTGATTCTGAGGAAGAGATTTGGGAGACAAGAGGTTAGAAATGGAAGGTAGACTTTTTTAAAAAATATATTTTATTGATTTTTTACAGAGAGGAAGGGAGAGGGATAGAGAGTCAGAAACATCGATGAGAGAGAAACATCGATCAGCTGCCCCCCAACTGCCCCCCGCACAATCCCCACCGGGGTTGTGTCCGCAACCAAGGTACATGCCCTTGACCGGAATCGAACCTGGGACCCTTGAGTCTGCAGGCTGACGCTCTATCCACTGAGCCAAACTGGTTAGGGCGGAAGGTAGACATTTTTTACTATCTATCCTTTTGTCTTATTTAAAGTTTGTACCATATCTATATAATTACCTTTAAAATTGAAATAAAAAATACCCATATCATTCTCAAAATATAATTCTGGGGAAAAATGTTTATTCATTGGTTTTATGGCAAATACAAAGAAGTAGAACTTGGTCCTTGCCTTCAAAAATATTAGAGTAGTAGATGTATAATACATAATCACAATTTTTAAAAAAATATTCAAAAGAATTAAGTTGAACTCCTATCCGAAACAACATATGGTAAATTAACTCGAAATGGGACAGAGGCCTAAATGTAATAGCTAAAATAAAATTATTAAAAGAAAACATAAGAGTAAATCGTCATGACCCTGTGTTAGGCAAAGTCTTCTTAGATGCAATAGCAAAAGCATAGATAACAAAAGAAAAATAAATTAGACTACATAAACACGTAAACTTTTGTATTGTAAAAGATACCATCAAGAAAGTAAAAACAAGTGGAATGGGAGAAAATATTTGCAAGTCATGTATCTGATAAAGGACTTGTACCTGGACTATATACAGAACTCTACAAGTTAATAATAAAACAATAAACACCTACCCTGACTGCTGTGGCTCAGTTGGTTTAGCATCGACCTGTGCACTGAAAGGTTGCCAATTCGATTTCCAGTCAGGACATATGGCTAGGTTGGGGGCTTAATCCTTAGTAGGGGGTATGCAGGAGGCAGTCAATCTATGTTACACTCTCACATGGATGTTTCTCTCTCTCCCTTCACCTCTCTAAAAATCAACAAAAACATTTTTAAAAATAAAATAAACACCCAATTAAAATGGGCAAAGCATTTGATTAACCATTTCTCCAAAGAAGACATATGAATGGCCATTAAGTTAATGGAAAGATGATTAGCAGCATTAGTCATTAGGGAAATACACACACAAACACACACACACACAATGAGATACCACTTCACACACCCTCTAGATGGCAGACATATAATACAAAGTGCTGAAAAAACTGGATCCCTCATACATTACTGATGCGAGTGTAAAGTGGTACAGCTGGTTTGGAAAATAGTCTGGCTTTTCCTTAAAATTATAAACATAGAATTACTATATGACCCAATGACTCCATTCTTATGTGTACATTCAAGATAAATTTAGACATGTTTATACAAAAACTTGTATATTAATGTTCACAGCTAAAAAGTGGAAACAAATGCCCATTGACTGATGAATGGCTAAATAAAATGTGGTATATCCAGAAAATGGTTTATTATACAGCAATAAAAGGGAATAAACTGATACATGCTACAATGTGGATGACCCTCAAAAACTTTATGCTATGTGAAAGAAGTCAATAACAAGAGGTTGCATATTGTATAAGTACGATACCATTTCTATGAAGTGTCCAGCTGTCTATTCCTGGACCTCATCACCAGAATTATAATTCTGAAATTTTAAATTTATGTCATTCTGTGTTCTCATCACCCTGTTATTTCATCTTTTATCCATTACTCCTACTACAACTGTCACTCTACCTTGTTGAGACCTCCAGGGTTTTAATCTCCTCTTTATCGTCTGTCAACCCCCTCCTCTCTTTACTACCTCTCCTTTCTAGCTCACACCATGTAGTCTGTCATTTTAATTATTTTCTTGCCAATATTAAGTCCTTTGCTCAAATGTCTTTCTATCCTGTCCACCTGGAAAGACCCCAACCTTGTAATTGTCCATTTAATCTACCCCCTACATCTAGATTATTGAGTTCTATTGGAGAAAATCATGCAAGAGGCCTATTGGTACCTCCCAAATATGGCTACCAACTTCTGTTGTGCTCAACCCTGCCCCGCTTCTCCAATAGTACTATTTATAACTGTATTAGATTCCTAGGGCTGACATGACAAAACAAAACAAAAATCAAGTGGCTTAAAACCATAAAAATGTATTCTTTTGAAGTTCTGGAGGCTAAAAGTCCAAAATCAAGGGTTTGGCAGGACCATGCTCTACCGAAGGCTCTAGAGGAGAATCATTTCTTGCCTCTTTCTAGCTTCTGGCAGTTGCCAGCAACCCTTGTGTTTCTTGCTTTACAGCTTTATCATTCTGTTCTCTGCCTCTCTCATCACATGGTCTTCTCCTTGTGTGCCGTTCTCTGTGTCTCTTGTCCTCTTATAAGGATTCCAGTCATACTGGCTTAGGCCCACTAATGACTTTATATTGACTTGATTACATCTGCAGAGACCCTTTCTACTGTCTTTGGACAGATGGCCTCACCTCCTACTTCACAGAGAAAATAGAAGTTATAAGCCGTCAGAAGGAAACTCAACTTCCAACCACTAAATCAAGTACCTGATTTTATTGTATGCATGCATTCTTCTTTTTATCATTTCATGGAAGAATTGCTGCTTTTCCTATTTAAAGCTAATCTCTAAAGAGTTTTTCTGGTCAGGTCACAAATAAGAAGCAACCAATGAATGCACGGGTGGGTGGAGCAACAAGTCGATGTTTCTTTTTCTCTCCTGTCCCCCCTCTCTCTAAAATCAATAAATAAAAGAATTTTTCAAACTTGATGTCCA